GACGCCATAGACCGAATGGGGTTGTTTGGCGTTCCACCGGTTTCTCCTATATCGTCGGATGCCATTTTTTCTGATGGGTGATGTGCTTTTGTTTTGTTTTTCGTCACACGACAGATGACGCCAAATGATGTGACCTTGAACTCTGCTTTACGTCCTCCGGACCAAGTGACTCCGGTGAACCTGCGAGGTCACAGTAAGAAAGAGGCCGTCAGCCGTTCTCTGGGAGGAGATCTTGGAAAAACGCTCCAACGGTCAAGTCAATAGGTATTCTCTAGGGTTGAGTGAGAGTAAACTGGTAGAGAATCACTTACTTCCCAAGGCATCGAGGATAGCCTTTTATACTGAACTCTCCTGGTAGTCCGGACAAGGGCGTCAGACCCGACATGATCGGAGACGTTGATTGGTGGATCGTGCTCTTGAATCTGTTAGAGCTAAGAATTGGTTGCGACAGTAGTGCTCTGAGTATCTTCCTTGTCTCCTGACCGTTGTATTTGTCTTGGAGCGAAAGGCGGCCCAGGCGGGGCCGAGCCTTTCGTCGGCAACTAAAGGCGGCCCAGGCGGGGCCGAGCCTTTCTTTAGGAGCCCTGCTCTTAGGGGCGCTGGATTCTGTTGGGTTTAGTCGGCTGGGCACGCTACACCATGGAGCGTTCTCTGTCGTGGCCCGGGCGCGACTCTTCCGTGCTTGCTAGGACACGTCATCAGGCTGCAATAACTGTCACGTCGTGGCCACCAACCAGCCACGCTCTTCGTTTAGATGCTCTGGTCACGATGTGGTCATCAACCCACCACGTCGTGACATAAGACTTTTTCCCCAAAACCTTATTCCTGACATCCTTAAGTATTTGACTGGTCAAAACGGGAAAACGGGTGTTACACTCTAACTATTTGATGCTTCGCAATCATAAATTATTTAATCCTAAGAAAGGTATTATGAGAAGTGGTAAACATAATATGCCCCTACCATTTTGATGTCTTGGCAGTCGTTATGTCTTGTACCTATCCATTTTTTAGGCGACTCTATAACCCATCAAACTCTATAAAGTTCAATGTATTATGGATGATTTAAAATTGCAGTGGAAGGTGTGAGATGGTAGAATGGTGAATGTACGACAATGGTTGGGCTGGTGGGTCTACAAATAGCTATATCAAATTAAATAGATAATAATTTTTATTTGGAAAAATCATATAAAAATAACATTGTCATTTTATATTAACAGGGACCAATATCGAAAAAAGCAAAATCGGTGACTTTTCTTGAAAATTTTCACACGAATTAAACCATACTTGTGATTTTAGGTAAAGCAATAATCTACTAAAACACAAAGACATGCTTGCTATTAAACAAAACTAGAAGAAGAAAATTAATTTTTAAAATAATGTAGATAAATTGAAAGAGACTTGCAAATGAAGGGTATAAATGACTTTTACTTGAAGGGTTAATTTAGATGGAGTGCATCTTTCTTACCTACCACACCCAAACAAGGCTTAACTTCAAACACCTCCCTGATCAACTCCACCACTACAAACCTTATCTAAAAAACCTCGATGTTTTTTTACTTTGTATATGTAGATATTTCGATTATTGTATTAAAAAACTTTTAATTTTTTTTAGAAAAGTGATAATTAATTTTTTATTAAATAATAATATTTTATTTCTCCATGATGCATACTCATTTATATCTTTTTAATTGATCTTTCTTTCTATGCATTGTTTATTTTACTTCGATTACCCCATCAATATCCATTTTGATCTTAAATCGTTTTCAACTAAAAAAAACTTTTAAAGCACATCCCAATTTTACCACCGTTTGTTGGCATCTCATATCCATCATTTTTCACTTTTATTATCATTTGTTGACATCTCATAGACAATAATATAATATATATACAACATGATAACGATAAGACTATAGAAAAAACTTGTTTTGTTCTTGAACTGGTGTGAAACCCATGTATTACACAGGTTGATTTAAAAAAAAAATTAAATTAAAGTGCTAACAGAAAATATTTTTTAATATACAACTTTAAAATAAGAAAGAAAGAAACGTATTTATTGCAATTTAATATTATATATATATATATATATATATATATATAGTATTTAATACTTTACATATATAAGTATATGACTTTAATTTTAAAAATTGAAACAAATCAAAAATTGACAAATGGATAATATTTATTTCAAAAATACCACAAAATGACAAATGTCAAAACTTATGAGAGATTGACATGTGACAAAAAAACCTCATTTATTAAGAAAGATTAATTATCCATCTTTTTAGTTAATAGCCTATAAAAATCCCACAAGGTGGGTTCCACGCCACAAAATCAATTAAAAGCCCCCCATTGCGTACATTAAAGTCAAAATTGCTTATTCGCCAATCATATACCAACAATTATATATATATATATATATATATATATATTATATATATATATATATATATATATATATAAAAAGCTAACATTTTTCTTTGAACCTCATGCATTTGAAACCCCCATAAAAATTTGCAAACACCTCATGCATTTGAAACCTCATATTTTAATGAATATCACTCAAAAGTCTCTTAATAATGATTAACAATTCAAAGGTTTTATAACTTATATAATATATTTAATAAACAACTAATGGATACTCTACTATAAAAAGGTCAATCTTTTTGAGTAGACACACAAATACAAATCACATACAAAATTCACAAAAAAAATAAGTTTAAAGTTTTTTGTGTTGGTTTGAGGGCTTTGAACAATTTTTCGAGCCATGTTATTATGTTGAAGTTTTTCATTTGTAAGTTTGTTATATACTAATTCTTTTTTGTATCTTCTTGATTTAAGTATTCTTTTAAGAATATCATTGTATGTTGTGGTTTAAATTTTAATGTAAATTAGATTAGATTCATGTTACCGATCATATGTTATGGAAGATGATATATATAATATTTAATTAACTATTGTATATATGTGTGTATGTTCATGTTGATTCAAAACAATAATTAATTAAAAATCATGGATATGTCATATTATCCATATTATCCATGTAAGACTTTTTTAAAATGCAAATTGTCTATCTTATAACTTTATATGTATATGTTTAACATTTTAATTATAACAATAAGTGTTTTTTAAAAGTTTCTTTCACTTATTAATAATAACAAGTGGTTTTAAAATTAATAAGCAATAATTAGAAATAATAAAATCAAATTACATGGATATGTCATATTATCTATGCAAGTCTCTTTTGAAATGCAAATTGTCTATCTTATCACTTTATTATTTAGTGTATGTTTCACATTTTAATAATAATATTAAGTGTTTCTTAAAAGTCTTCTTTAACTTATTATTAATAATAAGTGATTTAAAACTAATGAATAACAATTTTAAATGATAATAACATGAAATTATAAATTACATTTAGCTATAAATAAATTCTATTTTAAATGAACATCATTATTGAAATTAGAAAATTATCGCATAAGTAAAAATATAATTAATCAATAATAATAATTGTTAAAAATAATATTAAATAGATAATTATATTTAATTGTATTAATAAAGAATGTGGGTTGATGTCAATGAATATTATTGTTAAAAATAATAGAGATTATATATATATATATATATATATATATATATATATTAGTGTAAAAATATTATCTCAAAGTTAATGTCAATAACATAACCATTTTAAACATATATTTTTCAATATTTTAACAATATATTTTTAATCTTCGCTGCGCAACGCGCGGGAATTCGTCTAGTATATATATATAATATATATATATATATATATATATATATATATATATATATATAAATAAAAAGAAACAATTTATAGTTTGTGGAGCATTAAATTAGACGAAGTGTAGTTTTATAGATACTCTAACTTCATATTTCGTGAGTATACTGTATACTACACGACATAGTTTCTTAAAGTGTAAACATTGAATAGTTTGTTGTTATAATTTATACAGTCATTGTCTTTTTATATTAAACGAAAAGTAGGTTCAAGATGATGAATTGATGATATACATCTGAATATGAAAATAGTTTTATTAATGATAACAGAAATCGAATGGACTACCATAAAAATGCAAGAATTCTTTACTTCCTTATATATTTAAATAAAATATTTTTTTTATATGAAATTTTTTTTATCATTAAACCAATATCAAATATTTCATTTAAGTTCCATAAGAAGGATAAATTTTATAAAATAAAATTAAAAAAAAAGAAAAAAAAGGTAAACAGTTGGCTACTCGTTTTGGTTTCAAAGTAGTTGATTTGACAATGGATAGACATCTTATTTATCAAGCTTTTTCTCAACGATAAAGACGAATTAAATAAAGTAAATCATTTATTGTCATTGAATAATTTTCTAGATTAATAAAGTATATATGACTTGTATATTATCCAATTAAATTTGTATGTTCATTAGTAACTGGGATCCGAAATGCGGCTAACCAAAATGCAACAAATACGTGTTTTTCATTGACTACACATATTAGAGATTAGACCAATGCTTTTGACTATTTTGGTAACTAACTACGCAATTCTATTTCTAGTTTGAAAAAAAAAATCAAATGTATGATCATGGGTTCGAAAACCTTATGAAGGAACTAATAACTATATATATAATATATATATATATATATATATATATATATATATATATATATATATATAATAGTTCTTAAATATTACAAAATAAGATAACAAGATACAAAATGAAATATGATTTTGTGATTTACGAGTAAGATAGATCCATAATGTTAGACTTACAAATGATCGGTTAATGTTAACCTGATTATTGACTAGATATCATTTTATACCTCTTTTCACTAAACATGACACATTCGACTTCAACGTTTTCATACATGGTCTACTCTAAGCAATTAAATTCTGAACACAAACATCTTTTTTTTTTCTTCACGTGTGTACGTAGTTTAAGCTCGATCATAACTTGGTTAAGTGGACCCAAATGTGTCAGAGTGTACGTACTAATCTTGTTCAAAACCGGTTTGCTTCCAAATCGCATTTCTAACCCTACTCAAATCTCTGCCTTTTAGTGTTCTTCCAAGACCTTCATGAACAGAAAATGAAGCAATCCTAGTTCTTGCTAAATACTCATGGGGAGGCAACCTTTCATCATCTTCATCATCATCATCATCAACATCGAACCCCACATGATCATGATCATAATCATTCTCTCTCCTCCCATGATCATCATGCTTGTACTCATCTCTCAAAATCTTTGACCAGTCCGGTACATTGACCGGCAATGACTTTGCCATCTCCATCGGTACTTTTCTTTGATGATGAGTTTTCAATGGAAACTTTGATCTTCGTGAGATGAGGTTTTGAGGCTCGTTTGCATGATCTTCAACTCCGGTGCTCCACAGGTCGGATTCGTTCATCTCAAAACCCTCGGCATCAACTCCATTGATTCTCCGGTCACCACCACCACCGAGATAAAGGAATTTTGGCCTTTGATCATGGTGATGGTGGTGGAATTTTCTTGTTGCCATTTCAGAGAAAATTGTTAGAAGAATTAATCTAAAAAAGATGGTGTTGTTCCTTTATGTTTTCTGGAAAAAAAGAGTGGGTATGAAAGATTGATTGGTTGGCCTAGGTGGTTGTTGATGGGTCAGCCAATCTATATATATAATGGTGTGATGGATAAGCCTTGTGTTTGGTTTTGTAAATACTCTATATTATGAGGGCTGATATGAAAATATATATTGGAACTTACATTAATCATCCTGATAGTTTTGTTATAGTTACATATAATACCACTATTGGAATTCATGACATGCAACTTTGACTCAAGTCCTATATATATGAATAACTTTGACATTGTGATTCTACAAATTAAAAGAATGGATGTTATGAGAAAATGACAACACAACTTTTTTTCTTTAGTAAGTTATTTATCGTGTTTGTTTGTATTATTTTGTTATTTTTTGTTAGTGATATTATTACTGATTAAGAACAATGATTATAAAAGAATTGAAAACATGCATTTTATGTACTGTTTTTAGGTGGTTTGTTGGATGATGAAATCTTATCCCTATGGTATGGTGGAGCCTATACTTATACATTGTGTCATCATTCTTGTTGTGATGTTACATTCATATTGTCTTATAAAATCAAAGTACATGATGGGAAATAAAAGAAGAAAAAACAAGTTTTCTATTTCAATAAGAGAGAGTTGTAAACTTTGAACTTTAAGAGGAACATTGGTCTCTTAAAAAAATAGAGGCTGGAATGTTAAGAGTTTATAAAATGGGTATTATTTAGTTATACTAAACCACAGGGGGTGAAGTATCATAAGTGCATAATTGATCAAATAAAAAAAAAATTGTGTAGCATTTTATTTTCACATCACATAGAAGGATGTGATGTTATGGTGGGGAGGAATAGTGTAGACGTGTGTCTTCAGCTTACGGTGGACCCTTTATGGTGATCAATAATGGAGAGCTTGGATCGACTAAATTATGCTATAAATTGGAAGTGACATCATTATTGGTCCCACTTATCTTTAGATTATTCCGTCTGTCTGATATTTTAATTTTATGACACCAAATTATGGGTTGTATGTGTTCTACGAGTCGACGGAATGGGTAAGGTGAGGAGGAGGTGAGGGCGGAAACACTGCTTTATGTTTGTGGTCAGGGCCGGTTTTAGGGATGTGTGAGGTGTGTGACCGTACAAGGTCTCTGTCGTTTAGACGGTCTGGATTAGTAACAGATTAATCGGATCAATGATAATTTTATTTTGATTAATTTTTTATTAATTATCGAGTTATCATAGCATTAATGATTTTTACTTATATAAAAATATATTTAGATGTCTTTTGTCATTTTTCGCAAATGACCTTTAAAATCAATGAGCCAATTTGTGGTGCTGTAAAAAAACAATAAAAATGAATGAATATTCAACCCTCATCTTTCTCTTTCTCCTCTCTCTTTTATATATCTGTACTTCTTAAAAAAAAAAAAAAAAAAACACGGGTCAGAATGAGTGTGGGATGAAATGGGATAAGAGGAAAAAAGGAATTATTGTTACGCTCTTTCTTCAATATAAGCGTACATTATATTTTATCCTTAAACCAACTTCAGTGATGAAGTTGCTACATTAAGGAATATGCTTTTGTTGACTTGTACTTTATGCAATAAAATCTAATATGTTAATGCAAAATCTAATAACAATTTCTCACCACAAATCAATTAATAAGAAAAGAAGTGGGGCTACTCTAAAAAATAACCAAAATTTGAACTGCAGTGTCAGAAATTTACAATTTATAAAAACTATAATGAAATAATGGTTTATTTTGTAAAATATATGAATTATGAAATAAATTTGTTGTTTTGTGCAACTGATCCGCAAACATTATCATGTTAGTTATAAACTAGTAAATATTGCCTTCCAACGATTTGAATTAACTACAAGTTTAATAGCAGTGAATAATTAAAAAGAAAATTGCATATTAATGATTTAACTAAATGAAATAAATATATTGAATAATAAAATGAGTTAAAATAATATAAATAACTGATTTAATAAATATAAAAAATACAAATAATTTAAACTAATTTGTATGTGAATTTTTCGTATAAAAAAATTTGTTGCTAATAGTTAATTAATGATTATTGATTATATTTGTATGATTATCTATATTATTTTTAATTTGATAGCTGCATTTTACATATATTTTGAGCTAGTTTATTAATAAACATGAACCACGATTGCATGGATGAAACATTAGGAAATATGAGTGTTGTAAAAATCGGTCTAGGCGGTCGATTAATTGGCGCCTAGACGCTTGACGACCTCCAACCGCCTACAAATAGGTGCTAGAGGGTTAAATATTCGGCTTTGGTCAATATCGGTCAAAACCGGTCAAAATCGGACTAAATCAGACCAACTCGGACAACAATTCGGACCAAGTCATTCCAGCCCACTCTAAAGTCGTCGACCCAATGGAGCCAACAACCCAAAGCACAGTTGTTTTACTTATCGAAGGGTATTGTCGCTCCTTTTTATAGAATATTTATGCTTAATATTTTTTCCCACTAGCGATGTGGGATGTGGGACTGGTGGTTGAATGTCTCTTCTTCGCTTCTTCTTCATTCACTTAACTGACGATTGAAGGTTTGAGCTTTGGTTTTCAATGGTGATTTCGATTGGTGGTTTAACTCCTTAATTGTTGCTAGGGTTCCTTTCGATTTTGCCATTCCATCGCATTCAGTCTAACTTTTGTTTTCGAAGCACATCCTTCTTGTTCTGTCACACATCTTCTTCTACTTCCAAGCACATCATCGCCTTCTGTACAAATTGCTATTGGAGTTGTGAAGTACCCTCAAATATTGTTAGATTCTTTCCAATAATTGTATTCTTCTTCCGAAATTGACCAAAACTCCAAGTTTCACACTTTCTAGATTTGTTTGTGTGTCTTGGGAACTTATGTTATTCATTGAATGCATCATAAAGCATGACATCCTTAATGAATTATTTCAGGAACGACCAGTGCTGTTGATGCTAAGTCCACAATCTCTCTGAGTTTGACTTCAAGTCAGTGTGAGATGACTAAAATGGTGCATAATGATGTAAAAGTCAAAGATGATTCATGCTTAAATAAGTTGAATAATGATGAGCTACATAACGTATTTGAGCTTGTAGGTTGTTATATGCATCCAATCCCAATCTCAATGGTAATGTTGAGAACAAAAAGGAACGAGGTCTTCATATGTGTTTTATGTGGGTATTTGATGGAAAACTGTAAGGAAAAAATCAAATCATGTATACCATTCACAATGATGTAGTTGGTTATTTAGATTTGATGCATTAAGGATTAAAGAGGTTTTTTTTTGTAATCATAGTTTCGTGTTATAATGTTCTATCTATTAAATTTTTAATAATTTTTTTAATTGATATGGTTATATTTATTAATGTTATATTTAATGTTATATTCTTAGGATTAATGTTATATTTATTAATTTTTTAATAATTAATGGTCCCCGATTAATCCCCGCCTAACCGATTAATCTTTTGACCCCAGTCCACCGTCGAGCTTATCGATCGAGCGTTTTCTGCAACATTGGGAAATATATATATTAGTTCCTTGATAATCTCATGTTTATGGAAATTTAAAACATCAACATTTAGGTTATTACAATTTCACCCTTTGAAGTTATTGTTAATAACAAAAACTAATTTTTTTAGAATAGCTAACAATCACCCCACTATTTTATTCCAAAACTACATTTTTATCTACAACAAAACTTGTATCCACAACCTATGGTAGGAAACGCACATTTCATCAACACGTACTAAATACACTACAAATCCTTTGATAACAACAAAAACTAATAATACTCTAAAATACAAATATATAATTATCACTGATAATTCATTATATTGTCATGACAACATAAATAAAATTGCATTTAAAGCTTTGCATTTTTATCTATCACATTTAATGAAAATATTTGCTAATAATATACTTATACTATCATAATTCATAAAAAAACTATATAATTTTTTATTCAAATATAGTTTAAGAAGGATTCATGTGATTTTATCAGGTTGTTATTATATCTCATTTTTGTTCAAACGTATCTAATTATCTTAGGTAATTTAATGTAAATTAGATACAACTATAATGATCTTACCTTCTCTTTGCATGTGAGCAAAATGTCTAAATATGAAAGTCTATAGGTCAAACCTATCTATATGAAAAAAATTTAACCAAAGTCTGAAATCTAAAAAGTCTATGGATCAAACCTGACAATATACGAAAGACTCCTGCCAATATATAAAAGTCTTATGGTTAAAGGGTAAAACACAAAAAATGTATGGACCAAACTTATTAATATAGAAAAGTGTTGTTGCAATGTTTGAAAGCCAGATAATATACTATTCATCATTGCAATTGTAATTAGTATATATAATAATGAACTAATAAAAAAGATTAATAAAGCATAAACATATATTTTATAGATCTTTTTGTTTTCACAATTGTAAACTATATAAAAGTATCGTGATATTTTTATTAAGCGAGGTTAAATATCCTCTTACTAAATTGCGAATTTCCTGGATAAAAATTAATACAGATCTAATATTTTTCGCACTTGAAGGATGACATCAAAACATGTGCTGCAATTTTTTTGTTTAATATTTTTTACTGTAGTTAATCTAATTTATTTTCTTATAGAAATTGAAATTGAGACGTAATAAATTCAAACTTAGATCTTATCCACTTACACCAACCCTTAGGTTCACCGACGAGTTAAACGAGCACCGGAGAAGCCGGATCTTTTTTTTTTTTTTTTTTTTTTTTTTTTTAACATAAACGGAAAGAAAAAGCTTTTTTCTTTTCTAAATTTTACATAAGAGTAGCCAAATTCATTGATATCAAATTATGTGTTAATCATATGACCAAAATGGTATAATACATTTTTGTGTAATATTTCTCTATGATTGATCATTAAGTGGCGGTTTTATTATGGTGTTTCGTAGTGGTACC